ATGTGGTGGCATGATCATAGTTCACTGTAGCCTTGAACTCCTAGGCATAGGCAATCTTCCTGCCTCAGCCTCTTGAGTAGCCAGGACTACAGGCATGTGCCACCATGCCCAGCTAATTCTTAAAATTTTTTGTAGAGACAGGGTCTTACTATGTTGCCCAGGCTGGTCTTGAACTCCTGGGCCCAAATGACTAATGACTCATGACTAATAATGACTAATTCTGTATTCATACTGTAATTATAAGGTTTTTCGGGTGAGGTATATGAAGAAAATCTGGCCTCACACAGATAATGTAGTTGAAATAAGGAGGATCTCATAGATCCCGTAAGAGGATCTTGGGTCCTCACAGTTCCTCAAACCACACTTAAAGGATTGCTGTACTAATTTTGACTTGTAAAAAAATGGGATCTAGAGGGATTATTACCTGGTGTGGTAATGTATTCCAGTCAAGAAATTAGGAGATTTTTTTTCCCCTCTCATCTGAGGGAAGCATTTTGAATAGCCCAAGCCTGATGAAAAGCACTATGAATATTTTTCCTCTTGACCCAAGCTTAGGTATTGATTATGTTAAGGGAGTTTGCTGGAAAATCATCACTTGAGATTATGTATGCTTTTATCAAATGGGCTCTCTCTTTTAATTGCGAGGTTTCCTAATTGCTTTAATTGCTCATTTATTTTTTATTTTTATATTGACTGATTGAGATACAATCCCGACTAGAGTGCAATGGCATCATCATAGCTCACTGCAACCTCAAAACTCCTGGGCTCAAGGGATCCTCCTGGCTCAGCCCCCCATTGCTGGGACTACAGACGTGTGCTACCATGCCCAGCTAACTTTTTCTATTTTTAGTAGAGATGGGGTCTCGCTCTTGCTCAGGCTGGTCTTGAACTCCTGCGCTCAAGCAGCCCTCCCACCTTGGCCTCCCAAAGTGCTGGGATTACAGGCATGAGCTACTGCGCCCAGCATGTTAACTATTTTTGGCCTTAGAAACAACTGAATACTGTATCACATGCTTTGATGAACTGTTGTGCTTCTTTAGTTTTAATAAAATCGTGAAAACAAAAATTTTTAAAAAGTAAAATTGACACATTCTGGGCATTTGGGCTTTCTGTCAGTTTAGTAGGACTAAAAAGTATTTGGGGATCTAAATTTGTGCCTTTATTTAGATTCAGGATCTCTAAATCCGTGGTGCATTTAATGTTAATTTGCTGTATTGGGGATGTACATTGCAGTTTAGGTTAGTATGTCAGAATGGGAACTCAAAACTTGTACCATTTTATCATTTCATAATTCATTTTAAAACCTATTGCCCCTTCTAGTTACTACTTCAAATTGGATAGCAGGCGATGCTGACAGTTAAATTCTACATCCTGTTTCAAAATTGTTGTGGTATTCACCAAGAGAGTATGATGACATTTGTAACAAATCTAATTTCTATTGCTATTTTGTACTTTATTTTAAAATCATTATTACCATTGATCATCTTTCTCTTCATTTCTATAATACAAACTTGTATCAAACTTGTTTTATTGCCTCATTAATTATTTCAATAACCAGAAATTCTGCTCTTGCCCTTAATTTAATAATGGTTCTTCATTAGTCCTTTAAAGATTTAAAAATTATAATTACCTGGAAGATTATTTTGGATATTTGTTTTCCTAAAAATCAGTTTACCCATGAGGTAGTAGTACTGCTACTGCTACAACTAATAGTAACAGAGCAGTGCTGCTTCATTTATTGGGTACCTGTCATATTCCAAACTCTAAACCATTGGGTTATTTTATTTAATTCTTAAGCCTGTGAGATATAGGTACTATTATTATTCCTGTTTTATACATTTGGGTTTTTTTTTCTTTCTTTCTTTGTTTTATTCTTGCCACTTGAGCAGTTAGGTATTTTATACATTTAGTATTGAGGGAAATTCGGTATGAAGAAATTTTAGAAATACTATTTTCATTTAGTTTTATTATGTTGGCCTAGAGTCCTATGTTACATGAAATAACTTTGGGTATAAAATTATAATAGGAAACTAATTTTACTGAGGCTTAGCAAGAGGTTAAGTGATTTGTCCAAGGACACATGCTTTATGTCTGAGCCCAGATTTGAATCTAGATCTCTGAATCCAAAACCCATATATCCACTATTCTATTATTATTACACTAAGTGAATTGCATTCACTAGTCTTATTTCATTTGAAAAAAATTATTCATAGAATGCAGCACTTGCCTTTTAGATGGCATGTGGTGATAAAAGACTGTTTCTTTTGCTTCCACTTTTACTGTCTTCTGCCATCTCTGAAGATAGAGTATGAGATAGATGTGGAGAATATAGGGCCTCCAGAAATCCTAGTCCTAAAGTTTAGCCTGGTAGTTATTGCTACTTGTCAATTTTAAGAAGTTTAATATACTGCCCATTTTCTCTGTCTTTTTACTGAAGTTTGTTGTTGTTGCCCTTCTGCAGCAGTGATTCCAGCAGTAGTTCAAGTGATGACTCTCCCGCACGATCAGTTCAGTCTGCAGCAGTACCGGCACCCACCTCCCAGTTGCTTTCATCTTTGGAAAAAGATGAGCCCCGTAAAAGTTTTGGGATCAAGGTTCAGAATCTTCCAGTACGCTCTACAGGTAAAATATTGTATGACTGTAGTTACCTCAGTGCTATTGCCGACGAATGAGAAGATAGGCCAACTTGAATTTTATACTTTGTAGTAAAAACAAGTTTTTCTTTAGTGGTTCATTAACATTTAATGCTATGTAAGAAAAAGGAAGTGGGCCAGGCTCGGTAGCTCACGCCTGTAATCCTAGCACTCTGGGAGGCCAAGGCGGGCGGATTGTTTGAGCTCAGGAGTTTGAAACCAGCCTGAGCAAGAGCTAAAATAGAAATTAATCGGACAACTAAAAATATATAGAAAAAATTAGCCGGGCATGGTGGCGCATGCCTGTAGTCCCAGCTACTCGGGAGGCTGAGGCAGGAGGATCGCTTGAGCCCAGGAGTTTGAGGTTGCTGTGAGCTAGGATGATGCCACGGCACTCTAGCCCGAGCAACACAGTGAGACACTGTCTCAAAAAAAAAAAAAAAAAGGAAGTGATTATTGTAACTTTATGTAGTTTTAGTTTGTTGTCCATGTATGTATATAAAGATTGCATGGTAGATGATGTTTTCCTTATACATACTATATACATGTATCTACATAAACATTGTTTATTATGTGCATATATATACATATAAGGATTGTATGATCATGGATGATATATAAAGAAAGCATTGTTTATTTTTGAATAAATATGTTTCTGGATTAAATATGTTGGTATTGGAGGAAATTTGGTATGATGAAATACTGATACTATTTTCAGTTAGGTTTATTATGTTGGCCTAAAGTCCTGCCTTACATGAAAGGAATTTCCAGCATAAAATTCTTATAGGAAACCCATTTTAAAATACTAGCATTTTAAATGAGGAAAGTCATGATTAATAATCCAGTTAGAACCTATTCTATAGTCTCTACTCATGTTTTTAATTGACAGTTGACAATATATGCTGTTATCCTTACCTTGGGCATATTAAGCATGTACACAAGTTAGAACTCTCAGTGCACAGTCAAACCAACAAAGACCAAATTAAGTATTTCTTGGCTAAGTGTATTTCAGTTAAATTATTTGTTAGAATTGCCTATGAAACTTACATACCAGGTTTGTGAATAGAGATATTAAGACACAAAAGTTTATGAACTTTTGATTTAGATTAGTAATTTAGAAATGGAGAAGGGGTAAAATTGGCTTGCCTTTTTGTATACCTTTCATTGTTATAGTGAGACAAATTAACACAAGACCCCCCCCCATAGTATGATTCATGTGTAAAAGATACCAAAATTGCTTAGCATGTTACATGACACTTCCTACACAATTTTATCATTGAGATGATGCTTGAAAAGCTAGAAATATGGCTTTCCTTCTTAATTAACACAGTTTTATTATAAATCCATATGTAAAATTTTTATGTTTTAAGGGTTTTATTTGTTTTGTTTTTTTGAGATAGAGTCTTGCTCTGTCATCCAGGCTAGAGTGCAGTGGTGTCATCATAGCTCACTGCAGCCTCAAACTCCTGGGCTCAAGCGATCCTCCCGACTCAGCTTTCCCAGTAACTGGGACTACAGGTGTGCTCCACCACATCTGGCTAATTTTTTCTATTTTTTTTGGTAGAGATGGGGGTCTCGCTCT